ATCATTTCTGCATAATTAATTGGTTGGTGAGAATTTCCATGGTTGACACTTATCCTTAGCAAGTAGAATGTCATCACCAAATATGCGGAAATCTTTAGAAGGGTTTGAATTTTACAAAATTATTTCAATGCATGATATATAAAGTTTGAGAAGTCCGTTAAATGAATAGTTAAAAGTGCGAGAGAAATCAATAATCGTTATTGCGATTATTCATCCCCCTGCGAATTCAACAGTCCCAATGGATGAATGACCGCACTGACGATTATTTACGCTGTCGCCGAATAGTAACCTAAATTTGAGGGTTTTAAGTATGCGTGAAGAAATGAAGCAGTTTAAAGCCTCATGTTCACTTAGACTTGAAATTCGAGAAGGGAAGACAACTTTCCACTTTTGTCCATTCTATGTGACATATGCGCTAGAAAAAACCTTTCAATCATTTCTTTCTCTTTCCCTCTGAGTCATTCCTTCATCATTTTTACTAATTAATATGCAATTATCAAATTCGTGATAACGATTTTAAAATACTTATACGAGCAATTTCCCTCTTTTATCACTTCATGGCCCACCTCTTTTAAACTAATGCATTGAGTTGAGCTCAATTTTTAGCATCGAATCGAGCGGCGAATGGCTTTTGTCACCAGTCATCATCGATGTGATGAGCAATTTCTTCATTGAAATTAGCCAATTGTTTACGAGAGATTGTTTATTTGAAGTATAAATGGCTAATTTAAGAGAATTGAAGGTGTTCTCTGGATTTGGGTATTTGTGTGGTACCAATTGCCCAAATCTAAACTCTTCATTGTATCCATTGTGAGGCAGATTCCCAACGAGGTCTTTTTTATTTGGATGGAGATAAGAAGAATTTCAGCAGTTGTGCGATTCATGAGAAAGTTGAATAAATTAGACTTATTCCTAAGGAGGATTTCTACCCTCTTCTTCCCAAATCCACAAAGAACTGCTTTGAATAAAACAAACGTATCTTATAAAGGAGAAAATTTAGGAAAAATGAAAGAGAGATGTTTGTTCAATTCTAAACTATTCATTATATCCATCGTCAATCAGGCGCAAATGTGCGAAAGAGTTGAATAAATTTGCTTAATTTAGACAGTTCCGCTTTTGACTGGATTTCACAAAAAAAAAAAGAAAGATTTTGAGAAGTGAAAAAGGATAATAAATAGAAGACCATTGTTCCAGGAAGTACATCATATCGAACATTAACAAAATCCTCAAAATTAGTACCACATGTTGGATGATACTTAAAAAGCAACTTATGCTATTGCAATAATTCCTTCCTTTCATTTTTCGTTAGTAAGGGAAAGATGAAAAAATTCTTAAAGTATTTCCTCAACAAAATGGACGGTAAAACAAATAAAGTTCGCCTTGTTAATCTTTAATGACTAACTTTTTTGAGAAACAGCAAAATTCTTTTTGTGTTTTGAGCTCAAAACTTAAGAGTCTGTAGTATAATATATTTTGAGATGGTTGAAATTTTAAAAAAAATGATGGGATGAGGGCATATGCGACACAATTTGTCTTATATAATGTTAGGGAACAGATGAGACCTATCATTGTCTTCTTTTCAGGTCCGATATAATTGTAGCCTGAAATGAATGATTTATCAATAACGAGCCGAACAAGGAGGAAATAACAACAATGGAATTGAGTTTATTGCCAAAAATTTTATGTTTTCCGTTTGAAAAATGTAAATTAATAAAGTCTCTTTTTAGTTCTTAAGAATTAAGGTAAATTTTTTTTTTTTTTTTTTAATAAGGCTAACGAATAGACAAATAATAGAAAATATGAATTTGGTGCAATTTATTTTGATAATAACTTATTCAAACAGATGATGGATTTAATGTTTCAATACATTGAAATTTAGGCAGTTTCATTGATTTCCAAACATCGCCATTTAATATTCATTTGGTGACAGTTCTGACTAATAGAAATTATTTCGCTTATGTTTTAAACAAACGAGCATAGATTAACCATGCAACTTGCAATTTGCCTTGATGCCTGCAAATTATGCAAATAATATTCGAGCAATTTGTTAATAATTAGGCGGAATTATTGCAAGTGATAATTTTTTAAATATTGACATTTTCAAGAGTGATTCTCTTGGAACTTTATGTATATCACAATCCGAATCTCTTCTTTCTCCTGCCATTAATCGAATTAGACAGATTCTATAATCACTGATAACAACTTTTATCTGTGCATTAGGATTTCTCAAACGTGTGATGTTTGAAAGATTATAAAGTGTAAATTACAGAAAGAGCATTTTGCACTTCAAATATTATGAAAGAGTGAAAGAAAATACAAAGGAAGTCATTCAAACAATTAGCAGTTAGAATTAGCAATGCATCATGACAGTCATGACATCAAATAAATTGTTGGTTGAGTGCGACCGATTTGTCAATCAAGTCGATCAATAAATACCAAACCAACTACCATGCAAGTATTCTGGTAATTCTTACTCATTGAAAAACCCTTGGAAAGCTTTACGAAGAAAATGCGTGGAATGGCTGATATTTAATTATCAGTGTATGCATACGTCTGGTTATGCTGTATGTTTGATAATTCAATTCTGGCACTACGAATTTGATAAGAGGACTTAATTCCTGATCAGCCTACAAATCTGATTTTATTCTTCTATTTCCCCCTGTTGAATGAGTGTTTGTAAATTTAGAACGATTCAAGTTAGCCAGCTTCTGGTCTTCTTCCAACAAAAATGCTGTCACATGCCGGTGACTCCCTCCGGCTTTATTTTACTTCGCCTCAATTAAGCATACCCAATAGCGACAGTTCAGAAATTGTTTGGGATCTTTATTATGATATGGCGTTAAATTATTCTATTAATGGTTTTAGTGCAATGGACATGAAACTAGGCGATGGTCAGTGAGGACGACAGAAGTGCGAGGTATGTATAATAAATGGATAGATTAATCAGAAAGATTTCCATTTTGACGTTGTGACAATTTGGATTGACCAATGCATAATGCCTCAAAGAGGGATTCAGCTATCATTGAAAGAGAGATTCCACTGAAGAACCGAATACAAACATGCTTTGATGTGATATAAATGGGAAAGAAGAAAGATTGCTAGATTTACGGGTGTATAACTAACTAATTTATGGTGACGAGCCAGTCAGCTATTGATTATTTGGAATGAAATGGAACAATTGCATGGACAAGAAATGGACTTGTAATGAGAGAGTTGAAGCTGTGGCATCAGATCGATCCGCTTATAATTTTTTGAAGTCAGTGATACTGAACTGGTTTTTACGCCATTCCATCTGAACTTGTTTGTCGTGAAAAACTTTCAATCGAAGTTATATTACGTTTAAAAATTGGAAAGAAATGCTAATTATTGAAATAGTATGATGTCATTTCTAAATTGAAGAGGATTAAAATTAGAGACGGATTGAAACGAAATGAGAAAGTAAAGATGTCAAGAAAGAAAAGAAGGAAAGAAAAAAACTTTAAGTGAATAGAAGGAAAAGATTTGTGAAGGATATGTTTGACAGGAAAGAAAAGTTCTTTTGCAAATGTTAATAGTTATCTCAACCAAACCGGTAAAAAATGATTTCATTCTGGGAACATTTGAGTGACAATCATTTCTATTTTAATCCATCGGAGGATCGATCCAAGAGCTTATTATTCTATTCTTTTCAGCAAATTTACATTTTCACTGTCGGCTCCGTTGCCGAATGCTTTTACTTATCGCTTTGTCATGGATACCACATAAAACGTGATTACTTTAAAAAAGTGGAAATTATTTCGAAATTTTAAAATTGATGGAAAGCAGGCGATATGACAGCAAAATGGGATATGACATGGTAATTTCACTTTTTTAAGTAACTTTTTTAAGATTAGCGCCTATTATTAGAAAATAATTAATGAAGAATAAAAAACGAACTAGGAAAATCTGCAGAAATGATCGAATCGAAGGACTGAGCATTATCATACAATACCAACAAGTGGACAGTAATGAACGAAGAACGAACCGAGGAAGGCAGTTAATAATAGATGACCTTCTACAATTTGACAATTAAGAGTAACATAATCAGTTGTTAATTTAATCTTCTCTACATGAATTGTATCAATAGATGAAATTGTTACCGAAAGTGAAGCAATTGAACAGCACAGCTTCTAGGAGGAGATATAGAAGGTCTGTAAGAGAACAGAAGTACTAAAATTTTGAATTACTGTAATTATTTATTTCGTTTTTCAGTACCAAAACTTATCAAATTTATGATGCAAAATAGTCAGCGTTATTGAGCAATTTGAAAGTAAAAAATTTTAATTACAGTCTTGGAAGGCTTACGGTTTTAACGTAAAGTGACACTGTTTAAATTTCAAGGTATATTAATAATCTTATACCTATAGCCTACCTAAGCAGCCTTAAGCCACCTGATTAAAAAATCAGGTGTCGTCTTTCCTCCTGTTTTTATCGAAATATGTTTTTGAAATCTTTTCCTGTTTAACAAGTTCAAGTAGGAGTGACAAAGGAAATGAATATAAAAGGGGAAAACATCAAGGGAATGATGCGCAAAAAAATCAAAGTGGGACATTTGCTGCGGAATTTGTCAGGAATAAAAAAAACAAAAAATGAAAGGCTCAATTAGTCAGCTATGTAAATTAAGCATGTGACTGAATCCTTTACTATCATACAACATACATCATAACTATAATTTCATAAATATCACATCTTCTTCTTTAAATCAATAAAAACTTCACAAACAGAGTGGAAAACCATCTTATTGTGGTTTAATATGCCACAGATTAATAATATGTGATGGTTAATGATTACTGCAACATTTAATTGTAAAATATTGTTGTCCTCAATATAAAACAAAGATTACCGGTAAAATAAGCAGATATACAAGTAAACAAATGAAAGTGTAGATGAAATTGGTGCAACTGATCTTTGTACTTCCTTACCTACCATTTCAATATGCTCTATTTTTATTTGTTATATTTCATTTGAAACAAATTCGAAGTTTATGTTAGATCTTTGATGTGTTGTGTTATCAGTATTATGTGATAAAAGAGGTTATTGCATGATCGACTGGCTTTTTCTAATGTCATATAAATGATTTGTGTCGCAGATTGAAAGGAAATTTGCTGGACTTCAATTAGAGAGAACAAAATTAGGCTTGAAAAGGTTGTAAATTGAGGTCGTAAATTGTCATCAGAACTATCAAAATTACATCGCCAAATAGGCTCGATTTCAAGTCCGACCTCAACTTTCCGTAAATCTAAACGGGATTCGGTTTGCAGTTTAATACATCCTTCAATTAGATATTTTTCACCTGACAATTGATTGTTACCCAAATGATTGAAATTTTTTCCGGTTTTCTTGAAACTGGAAACTGTCGGGAGTGCATCCATCGGTCCAATTCCTGTTACTCTCTATCATAATAAAGTATCTGGTTTCCAATTCATACCTCAGTTTCCTTGCTTTTAGTTTTCCTTGCTCATGCGGAAGAAGCAAAATAATTTCCTATAATTCTCTCTAATTTTTCATAAAATGATGAGAAATCAAAGAATTGAGTTTGGTCAGGACGATGAATTGACTGATTCGCGTAAGCCCTATATTACTATTGTAATTCAAATTATTCTTATCAAAAGATGAATTGGTACCATAGTAAAGGTACAACTTTAAAAGGTCAGCTTTTAATTGATTAATCGATCGATTAATCAATAACTAGTCATTTTAACCTGTTTTTACCTTTAATTATTGCCATGTTTGCACTCTAAATCGATAATTGCAGTTGTTTGTATGTGTAACTTCATAAGTATCATAAATTTGAGATAGCCAAAATTCATGAAAAAAGTTTGAAGTTTTTATCACCGGAAAGTATTGATTATAGATCGAGGAATGGCTGAAGTAAGAAGATTAAAATCTGAAGGAAATAATAATAATTAAAAGTGATAAGGCAACAAACATGGCAAATAACCTTTCTCTTCTCCCGCATTTATCAATCGATGTGAGATGTATTTATTGCTTTTCTCCCGAGATGGCAACAAGTAAATAATTCATTGAAACAAAAAGTACAACAGTTTAATCTTGTGAAAATAAGAAGAGAAACTCCTTTCTGCTTTATGGGATAAGGAAATTATCAGCTCATCGCCATGGAAATAACAATTTCAAATTCACTTACAAATATTTTGTTCCATGTCAAACTCCATGTCGTGAAATTTTTCTTCGGTGGATAGTCGAATGGATTATTTGTGTTGCGTGGGGACCAACTCGTATGAAAAAGGGTTTATTCGTCTCCGCTATATCAAAAACAAAACCAGCAGTAAAATTTGACAAGCTTATATTTATTAGGAAGTGGGTGTGGTTTTTTTCTAATTATTCAAACATTTAAAGAGATGTTGATTCGCATACATCGGAATTTGTGAGAATATTGTTATCAGATGTAAATTGGATAGATGAGAAACATGAACACAAGGATATTAAATTGAATAACTAATGTAAGCAATTGAAAAGAAAGGC